CCCCCCATTTTGGGAACCTATGACTTTAGTGGGTTTTGTAAAGACATCGGAACTCCTCCTCCTAAGGAGTAAGGGAAGCTGACAGGAGCGTTTCTTCCATTCACCTGCCTCTGTGAGGATGGAGTTGAAGCTTGACTTAAGATATGTTGATTAAAGATATGGTTGTGTAAATGGTTAACTAATGAGCCTGGGCTCATTAGTTAACCTTCATAGTTACACGTAGGTTTCCCCCCAGCCCTGTGTTGCTGCCTCTGTATCAGAGGCAGCAGCGCAGGGATGGAGGCAGCAGGGCACCAGCTCACACAGAGCTTCTTGTTCCTCGTCCCCCCTGGGCTGCTGCATTTGTATCAGAGGCAGCGGAGGGGAGAGGGCAGTTCTGCAGGAGCCACCTCCCCTCTGCATGTAAACATGTAACCGCTGAAAATTTTATAACCCACTAACATAGAACTTTAATTTAAGGCAGCAGTTTGGACTCAGGGCAGTTTGCTGATCCCATTGTTTATCCCATTGATGCTGGTCTTCTGGAGGACTTTAGCAGCCTACTCCAGAGTGTTGATCCAAATTAAGAAGTAGGCAGTTCAGAATTATGTTTTGGGCTAGATTCTCAGCTCTAGCATACATTCTCATAGCTCAACTGATTTTAGTAAATCTATGACAATATACATTAGTGGAGGATCTCTGCTGGAGTCCAGGGAGTAAGTTCAAATTTCACAAATTTATTGGCACTAAGTTTCTGGAATGGTATAGTGTAATAACCTAGTATACTTTCATTAAAATCTCTTGATGCAAAACAACATTTGCTGCTGCCAAAGATTTGAAGTAAAATGTTTAAATAGACACTAGTATTTAATACAGTAGGCATGAAAATAACAGCTGCATAACAGATTTAATTGCTTTTGTTACGTAGAAATTAAGTAAAAAATTCTGATTTTTTTTTTTTTTTTTTTTGTTTTTGTTTTGGTGGAGCCTAGTGTGCTTTGTAGAAGATTTTGCAAAAGATATATTGTTAAAAGTGAAAATAATTCTCATATTTTTTCCACAAAAGTGTCATCAGATCAGGTATTTTGAAAATTCTGTAATTATTCATTGTTTCCTATTTGTTTTTTACATTCTGCAAAAGTGTCAGTCTCTACAATCTACCTGCTACGGGAGTTATCTAATTCTTCTTCGGGTAGTGTCCCCATGGGTGCTCCACTCTAGGTGTCCGGCTCGTCCCAGCACCACCTGTCGGAGACTTGTCGGCCGTGGTTCAGCCGGACCATTCATGCGCGGCGGCATCGTGTGCTCTTCACGCCGTTTGTGAATTTGCACGTGGTCTGATTCCCGCCATTTCCTCCTAACCATCACTCGAAATGCCAGGGACCCCCAGTTTCAAAAAATGCACAACATGCCGCAACATAATGCTGGCATCTGATGGGCACTCAACCTGCATTAAGTGCTTGGGCGAGGGTCGTATACCTCAGAAATGCCCTCACTGTTCCAAGCTGACGGCTCAGCCCACATGTGATCGCGAGATGCAATTGAAAATGCTCTTATTCAGTAAGGCCTTGCAGCCTACTGAGAGCCAGCTGTCCAGATCGCCGGTGTCCCCAAGTACACCTACAGGCAAAAAGTCATCTGCCTGACACTCATCCTCAGCTCTGAGAAGTGTGGGTGATAAGCCGGGGCCATCCGGATTGGCCTTTGGCTGCCATGCTCAAAGGCCTAAGACAACTAGGGAATCGGTACCGGCACTAGCCGCAATTCCAAGAGCTGATTTGGCACCAGTGCCGACAAAGCAAAAGACAGTGGAACCAATCAGGACGGCACTGGTGGCACCGGCATCACAACAGGCGTTGGAACTGACCATGTCACCGGAGCTGATACCATCAATAAGAGAACGGAGTCCGGCGGCACCAAGTGCTCTGGCACTACCCGCGGCACCATCACTGAGTGCCTCATCGACATCAAGCTCGGCACCGATCACCATTGCAGCACCGAGCCCAACGGCACTGAGCTCACTCAATGCACCGCCACCTCAAACAACAGTGCCGCTTCCACCTGCATCTTCAGAACTGGTACGATACCATCAATAAGAGAACGGAGTCCGGCGGCACCAAGTGCTCTGGCACTACCCGCGGCACCATCACTGAGTGCCTCATCGACATCAAGCTCGGCACCGATCACCATTGCAGCACCGAGCCCAACGGCACTGAGCTCACTCAATGCACCGCCACCTCAAACAACAGTGCCGCTTCCACCTGCATCTTCAGAACTGGTACAAAATGTACCAGAGCGCCGAAGATGGCCTTCTCCGGCATCGGGGAAAGTCAAGCATAAGTCTAGGAGGATAATTACACCCTTTCCTAGCCGGGTACTGGCTGTCTTCTCTCCACAGCCTCATTCGCCAGCCTCCCGTTTCTCAGTACTATCACAGCATGAGAGCCGCACCACATTAACTATCCAGCAACACAGGCGCTCACCATAATATTCATCATCACCACAGCGATACCACAGGTGCTCACACTCCCATCATACGCAAGGGGTAGATTTCGCTCACCTAGATCACCCACACGATCCTCATGTTCCAGATATCGTCAAGTGTCTCAAAGAAGGTACTTGCCTGAGTATTCCGCAAGGAGGTATTACTACTACCAATACCATCGACATCGTGACTACCACCATCGACACTGCTATTCGTTAGACCACTCTTGTTCTACGTCCCCTCATTACCATCAGCGGCGTTCACATAGTGTCAGGTTACCAACACCTAAACCACCCGCAGAGTGCTCGCTTCTCTTGTGCTATGGTTGTCCTTCTGGCTTCAAGACCTCCTACTCCTTCAGGAGATGCACGTGTTTCAGTATGACAACCAGAGGCAGAAGAGATACCAACGCTGGACTGCACCCAATTCCAGGCGGAGTCCCCAACTGATCAGTCTTCTTCCTCTCTGGACCATGCTGTCTTTCTTGGAGACTCTTCCCCCACAGATGATATTTGGCAATTCCATGATCTGTTTAAAAGAGTGGCTGAGACACAAGAGGTGCAACTGAGTAAAGTACAACAGAAGCAATACTGTCTCCTGAAGAATCTGCAACCATTGCAAAAGTCTTGAATGGTGTTACCGTTAGACTACGCAATCTTGGAAATCGCAAACAAAATTTGGCAGACACTAGCTTCCTCCCAACTCATGCATAAGAGGGCAGACAAAAAGTATTTTATTCCCTCTAAAGGGATGGAATTCTTATTCATGCACCCACAACCTAATTCATTGGTTGTTGATGCTGATCAACAAAGAATCAAGACCCCGCTATTCAAAAATGCTGCCTCGATAAAGAGGCTAAACGTTTAGACCTCTTCAGAAGGAAAGTTTATTTATCCGCCACGCTGACCCTGAGAATGGCGAATTATGCTGCCCTCCTCTCCAATCATAACTTTGTGTAATTATCAAAGTTAGTGATGTTCCTAGAACACTTCCCCAAGGACAAGCATCAGATATTAATATCAGTAGTCCAGGTGGACTATATTGCCTCAAGGGCTGCCTTACAAATTTCCCTCAACATCGCGGACACAGTGGCTTGTACCACAGCAACATCGGTGGTAATGCAAAGATCATCTTGGCTCCAGTTGGCGTTGGTGTCCAAAAAACTACAAGCAAAGGTAGAGGATTTTCTGTGCCACAGGCAGAGTCTGTTTGCTGAAAAGACTGATCAAGTCCTCCACTCAGGCAAGGATTCAAGGACGACTCTCGGCATGTACACACCACAGTACCGCAGCAAATGCTACATGCTGTATTATAAGCAAAGGCCTTTCTCATACTCCATACCCAGATGATGAAGTTCAAAAAACTACAAGCAAAGGTAGAGGATTTTCTGTGCCACAGGCAGAGTCTGTTTGCTGAAAAGACTGATCAAGTCCTCCACTCAGGCAAGGATTCAAGGACGACTCTCGGCATGTACACACCACAGTACCGCAGCAAATGCTACATGCTGTATTATAAGCAAAGGCCTTTCTCATACTCCATACCCAGATGATGAAGTTCGTCCATTGTATTCAAAGAGGACCTTGACATCTAACGAGTTGTGGGCTGTCCACGGTGTGTCTGCAGATGGCTGATAAGGCCAATGCGGGCACGAAATGTTCTGCCACATGTTGGGCAGACATGTGTAGGCACCACTGTTGCAGCGTTTCCAACTCTGGCTTTACGGAGTGCTCGCTTCTCTTGTGCTATGGTTGTCCTTCTGGCTTCAGATGTTTGACAGTCTTGGTGGATCAGTTATCACCATGTTGATCGATCTTGTGCCAGGGTCTCCCAGGAGGTGGTGTCGATTTCCAGGGACTTGAGAGAGGCTTTAAGCGTGTCTTTGTATCTCTTCTTTTGTCCCCCGTATGATCACTTTCCTTGAGACAGCTCACCATAGAAGAGCTGTATAGGGATGCGATGGTCTGGCAGCCTGGCAACATGGCCAGCCCAGCGTGTCTGGGCTTTCATCAGCAGGGTGTGAAGTGACGACAGTCCTGCTCTAAAAAGGACTTCTGTGTCTGGCACCTTATCCTGCCACCGGATCCTCAGAAGTTTGCGGAGGCAAATCGTGTGGAAGTGGTTCAGTTGCCTAGCATGCCTCCTCTATACAGTCTAAGTCTCACTGGCATACATCAGGGTAGTTAACACTACTGCTCGATAGACTTTAAGCTTTGTAGCAAGACTTATTCCACGGCGGTCCCACACTTTGGTCAACAGTCTGCCGAACGCAGAGCTTGCCTTTGCGATTCTGCAGGTGACCTCGATGTCAATTGTCACTGCGCGGGAGAGGGTGCTGCCAAGGTATGTAAATTGATCCACTGCTTGCAGATTTTGTCCATTCACTGTGATGGTGGGCTCTTGATGTTGGGCTTTCGGAGCTGGCTAGTGCATTACTTCAGTTTTCTTTGTGTTGATGAGAAGGCCGAAGTTGTCGCATGCTGCTGCGAATTTGTCCATGCTGGCTTGCATGTCCTGCTCTGATCCAGCATTCAGGGCGCAGTCATCAGCAAAAAGGAAGTCTCGTAGCACAGTCTCCTTTATCTTGGTGACATATACCCAGATACAGGCAGTATGAACCACAACAGTGGGGGAAACCAAGCCAACAGAAATGTCGTCCTCAGAGGGTTAGGACACCCAACCCCCAAAATAACAGGCAGCCAGTTTGATGGTCTGGTCGAGGGACTGCAGACCATTCCCCTGACATATCACCTGGGTCCGATACCACTTCTCTCTCTTTCCCCCTATTTTTCCCACATCCTCGTCCCTCTTCGGGGACCCATCTCATGAGGCCATCCTAATGCAGGAGGCTGTACGCCTTATACATATTGGGGCCATGGAGAGAATGCCCGAGCAATTTCAGGGCAAAGGATTTTATTCTTGTTACTTTCTCACAGAGAAAAAATCAGGGATGGAGGCCTATCCTGGATCTTTGACGGCTCAATTGATACTGTGGAGGTAAAATGGAAGGTCCGAGAATGTGGCCAGCCCCAGAGAGGTGCAGAAACAGGCAACCATGTTCTAAATATCTTTTAGGCCTAAACCCATGTGAGGCTTGTGTGTTCCATGCCTCCCTCCATTTCCACAATAGTCAGGCTAATAGCCAGACCCATATGGCATCCTTTTCCCAAACCCACATGTCTTAACAGTGTTCTGGAGAGTACTTCATTGCATTACAAACCCTCTGGCTTTGACGCATTCTTGTGGGTGGCTGTGTGGCCTGCTCTTTTTTCCCCACACCCTCCCCAAGTTCTCAAGAACTTGCTCGGTGGGCTAAACTGGTAGTCAAATGCTCCCTAATTTAAGGGTTTTCTTACCAAAGGATTTGAGGCTTATGATAAATGAATCATTAACAGGTTTAGGACCCGATTTTTCTGAGCCTGCAAATTTAATTCATCCATGTTTCCCTGTGCTGAATAAAAGGCACCTGGTAAAATTACTTGCATGCCGGTGAGTTAAATGACAATCAGAACTATAAAGAATATTTGGTTGATTTGGTGAGCGGGAGGGGGCACACACACACACACACACACACACACACACACACACACACACACACACAGTTTTTTCTTAACTTCTGAGTGCTTGATTTTGCAACCTTAATAATATTCTCTTAACATAATTTTAAAATAAAGCAAAAATTCCATCCTATTGACACCCAGATGGGTCATCAGGATTGGAAGCTTTAGATCCAGGGGCAGATGATGATTTTGCGGGGCCCAGGGCAGCACAATTTCGCTGGGCCCCCCAACAGGGTTCTGCAGCAGGAGACAGAGTGCCAGTGTGGACAGGTTTCTGCAGCTGGGGACAGGATGCCACTGGGGGCACGAGGCCTGGCCAGAAAAGAGCCTGCTTTTACAGATACCTACAAAAACACAGGTTCAAGATGGTAACATTAGCTTCTGTCATTCCAGTGCTCAACATGGGAGATTGGTTTACGTCCCTCAACTTGCAGGATGCCTATTTCCATGTGACAATACATCCAGCACACAGACGCTTCCTCAGATTTGTCATAGGCATGGAACACTTTCAATACAGAGTCCTTCCATTCGGCCTATTGTCTGCGCCCAGGGTCTTCTTGAAGACACTATCCGTAGTCACCATGTATCTATACCGCCAAGGTATCATGATATTTCCATAGCTGGACAATTGCCTAATCAAAGCACCTACTTATGATCATGCCACCGAGATCACAAGAAAGTTATTCACAGCTCTGGGCCTCATAATCAATATCCTGAAGTCCTCCTTCACACCACACAGGTCTTTCGAGTTCATTGGGGCACAGTTAGATTCTACAACACCATGTATCTATACCGCCAAGGTATCATGATATTTCCATAGCTGGACAATTGCCTAATCAAAGCACCTACTTATGATCATGCCACCGAGATCACAAGAAAGTTATTCACAGCTCTGGGCCTCATAATCAATATCCTGAAGTCCTCCTTCACACCACACAGGTCTTTCGAGTTCATTGGGGCACAGTTAGATTCTACAACAGCCAGGGCCTATCTTCCTCTGGACAGATTCCACAAAATACAAAGCCTCGTGCATACTCTTTCCATCAGCCCCAAAGTCCCCATACTTACCTGCTTGCAACTCATGGGGCATATGGCGGCCACAACTTATGTGGTGCAACACGCGAGGCTGCATCTCAAATGCCTCCAACATTGGATAGCATCAATCTACCCCCCAGGAAACCAGGACGTTCACAGGCTAGTGGTGGCACTTTCTTCTACCAACATGCTCTTGGCCATTCCAGTTTACCGGCCACAACCCACAATATAGATTACGACGGATGCGTCTCTTCTAGGTTGGGGAGCCCACTATGCGGGAGATCATGCTCAAGGTCAATCGACTGCACGAGAAGCTCTTCAACATATCAATCTTCTAGAGCTCAGGGTAGTATTCAGTGCATGCAAAATATTCCTACCCACAGTTCGTGGTTATACTATTGAAGTCCTTACCAACAACACAACCACAGTTTACTATATCAACCGTCAGGGTAGAGCCAGATCCAAATCCCTCTGCGCAGAAGCCACATGGCTATGGAACTGGTGCATTCGCCATGGCATCAACATCATTGGTACATACCTACTGGGCAAGGACAATATAATTGCTGACATCCTCAGCAGGCACTTCTTTCTTCAGCATGAGCGGGAACTCAACCAAGACTTAACGTACTTTCTCTTCCTGCGATGGGGGTACCCCATTATAGACCTACTTGCGACACATCTCAATGTGAAGTGCCCGAAATACTGCTCCAGAGTAGGACTGGGACCAAAGTCCCTCAGGACTGGATTGGAGTCGCCACCTTCTCTACGCCTTTCTGCCAATTCCACTTCTTCAAAAAGTACTGGAGAAGATAGCCATGGACAGAGCCACAGTCACACTTATAGCCCTGTTTTATCCCAGGCAGATGTGGCTTCCCCTTCTCCTGCAAATATCCCTACGACCTCCATACCACTTGCCAGAACGACCCGACCTTCTCACGCAATGAGGGCTGGCCATGAAGCACCCTCAAATTGATCAGCTAGATCTCACAGCGTGGCTGCTAGCTGGTTCCACCAAGCAGAAGTCATCTGTTCTCAAGAGGTGAAGCATGTGCTAATATACAGTAGATGCAATTCCACGTGAACAACTTACCTTTATAAGTGGTGTCAATTCTACACCTGGTGTACTGCCAATAACCTTGATGCACTTTCCATCCCTATTCATCATGTACTGGGCTACGTACTACACCTTCAGCTCTCGGGCCTGGCGTTACCGACCATCAGAGTTAATTTGTCGGCGATCCCTGCCTTCAGACAACCAATAGAGGGTTACTCAATATTTGCTCACCCTACAACCAAACGACTTTTAAAAGGTCTCATGAACCTATACTCTCTGTGCAGAAAACTCCCGGAGCTATGGGACTTGGAGCTAGTCTTTGGACACTCACACATACCCACTTTTTGAATCACTAGCCACCTGTGACATGGCTACACTCACAATGAAAGTCGTCATCTTGCTAGCTATCACGTCGGCACGCTGGATGGGTGAGTTGACTGCTCTCTCGGCCACTCCACCTTACACTCTGTTTACCAACCATGGAGTAATACTACAATACTACCCTAACTTCTTACCAAAAGTGAACTCTGAATTCCATGTCAACGAGCCCATAATACTCCCAACCTTTTATCCCAAACCACATGCCTCTTGCCATGAAGCCTGACTACATACCTTGGACGTGCATAGAGCATTGGCTTTCTACCTTGAGAGAACATATCCTTTCCGACAGTCACAACGTCTGTTGCTATGCACAGATGAAAGAACTAAAAGAGTACCCTTAACTTCGCAGCATATTTCTAAACTAATTATGAAATGCATTGCACGATGCTACTCATTACGCAATAAGCCCATACCAACTTCAATGAAGGCTCACTCCACCAGAGCGACAGCTACATCGATGGCTTTCCTCAAAGGAGTCCCGTTGCAGGATATCCACCACGCGGCAACCTGGTCCTCTGACATAATGTTTGCAAAACATTATGCTATCAGCGCTCTCATTCGTGACTCAGCACTGGCATCCACAGTGCTCTCCGTGGCACAGAGATCATAATTCCAATCCCACTTCCATAGACCAGGCTACTGCTCTGTACTCACCTAGAGTGGAGCACCCACAGGGACACTACCCGAAGAAGAGGAAGTTACTCACCTTGTGCAGTAACGACGGTTCTTCGAAGTGTGTGTCCCTGGGGGTGCTCCACAACCCGCCCTCCTCCCCGCTTCGGAGTCTCTTCTTTATGTCTTTCAGGAGTGACTCGATTAGGAGGAAATGGTGGGAGCCGGACTGCGCACAGACTCACAAACAGTGCAAAAGGAATGCGACACCGCCGCGCATGTGCAGTCCAGCTGAACCATGGCTGATAAGTCTCTGACCTGCAGCGCTGGGACGAGCCTGACACACGTAGAGTGGAGAGGACACACCTCGAAGAACCGTCATTACTGCACAAGGTGAGTAACTTCCTCTTTCTTTTGTGATCCTGTGGATGTTGAGGTCAACAGGTGCCCAATTTGTCAATAGCAGCCCTCTAGTTAAAGAGAAGAGGATAGAGGGGGCTGAAATCTGGAACTCCTCCTTTCTCATTCTTAATAAGACAGCACTGGAATCTGTTGATCTTTTAGCTGCAGCTGGGTGCATGCCTGCCAGCATGGACTACGTCTGCTTAAGCTAGCCGTAGAAACCGATCCAACTGTCTGGATCTGTATTTCAGTGGCTCACACATACCTCTGTCTCTGTTGCAATATCCATGCTGCTTTTTAATGCACTAGCTCAAGCAGAGCTTGGATATCTCTGTTTACTCAGACTGGGAAGCATGCTCCAAGCCTGTTCCTCTCCTTCAGATATGCTGGAAGACCTCCATTCACCAGATTTTTGAGAAGGGTCTAAGTGAGGAAAAGAGATTAGTAATTGATAATCCTGACTAGGGATGTTAAAGACTAGTCAACTATCCAATAAACATTTGCTTATCGGATAGTCTTTTGACTAGTCGATATCCCCCCCCTTGCTGCCTCTATCAGATAGTGCGGCGCTGCCTCTTTGGAACCCCAAAGTGGCATTTCAGAGGGACAGCCTTTGCATATCTGATCCACGGATCAGCTGTGCGGCGGCTGCCTCTTTAAAACACTGCCTCTGCATTTCAGAGCAGCAGTTGTGGAGCCCGGGTTCAGCTGAGGATTCCCCAACTGACCCCTGGATTCTGGGGAAGTACCGCATGGAGCCTGGGATTAGCTAGGGAGTTCCCAGATGACCCCAGGCTCCACTGCCCCCTTGAAATGTGGGGAGGCGGCGATTCAAAGAGGCATCCGCCTCACAGCTGATCCGTGGATCGATGCGGCTGCCCCCTTTAAACACTGTCCCCTTGTGCTGTAGAGCCTGGGGTCAGCTGAGGACTCCCAGCTGACCCCAGGTTCCCTGCGGAATTTCCCCAGAACCCGGGATCAGCTGGGGAGTCTGGGTTTTTGGGAAATGCCGAGGGGAACCCAGGATCAGCTGGGACTCCCCACCTGACTGATCCGCGTCAAACTGTCAGGGTGGTCAAATATTGGAATAAATTGCCAAGGGAGGTGGTGGAATCTCCCTCTCTGGAGATATTTAATAACAAGTTAGATAGAAATCTGTCAGGGATGGTGTAGATGGAGCTTGGTCCTGCCTTGAGGGTGGGGGGCTGGACTCGATGACCTCTCGAGGTCCCAGGTTCTGGGGGGTTTTTGGGAAATGCCGAGGGGAACCCAGGATCAGCTGGGACTCCCCACCTGACTGATCCGCGTCAAACTGTCAGGGTGGTCAAATATTGGAATAAATTGCCAAGGGAGGTGGTGGAATCTCCCTCTCTGGAGATATTTAATAACAAGTTAGATAGAAATCTGTCAGGGATGGTGTAGATGGAGCTTGGTCCTGCCTTGAGGGTGGGGGGCTGGACTCGATGACCTCTCGAGGTCCCTTCCAGTCCTATTATTCTGTGATTCTATGACCCTGGGCCCCATGGTTGCCCCTTTGAAACACAGAGGTATTGTTTTAAAGAGGCAGCTATGACACAGCTGATTCGCGGATCAGTTATACAGCAGCTGTCCCTTTGAAACGCCATCTTAGGGTTTCAAAGCGGCAGCACCGCAGAGCACCTCATATCATAGAGGCAGCAAGGGAGGGATATCGACTAATTGATTAGTCAAAGACTATCCGATAAGCAAGTGCAACAGGGGCTCTTGTACATTTCAAAAGAGGAATGTGGAAGTGCCTATCAACTAGTCAATTAACTGCATTTTAACATCCCCTTAATCCTGACGTGTTAGGTGTGTGGGGAACAGATGTAATTAATAGGTTATTTTGTAAGGTTTGTACATATCATTATGTTTTACATTTGCCTACAGCTTAAAAATAACTGACACACTTCCCAAACAATTGCATATAAATGTCATTACTAATTAAATGTCTTTAAACTCTGGTAGCATAAAAGTCTTGTCACTCCAGTGATTTCCAATGTTATGTTTACTTAGCCAGTATTGTGTATGCTTTGGTACCTAAAGGAATGATGAAAAGATAAATAGATAATTATGAATTTACCATAGCAGTGCTTCTTCAGATGCTTCGTTTTCATTTGGATTGAGCGGTGAGCTTCTATTATTTAACTCTATCAAAGAAGTGCTACTAACTCCAACTCTCAAATTTTGCTGCTTTTTTGTTCACTTGCATCTGACGAACTGCTGTGTTGGGGTCCTGTGGGGCTGTCAGGTGGAGAAATTGTAGTAAAACTGAGGAAAAAGCAGAAGTGCTGCTCTTCAACCATTCACTATGGGATTGCCTCTCCTAAATATGTAGCAATTATTATTTTAAATGAAAAGCATGCAGAATAATTGTTTTATTGAGCTCCTCTTTATCTTCGGTCTCATGGTGTCTCCTGGAAACTAATTGTGTTTAACATGGCTATAGCTGGAGGGGGAGGGGGGAGAGGAGAGAGAGAGAGAGAGAGAATGAACACTAATGTGACTTCACTGACTTATTGTTTACTAACGATTTATATATTTCATTGAAAGCTCAATGGTTTTACTTGGGTGCTTTGAACAAGCCCCTCTTAACTTCTCCATTTTAAATTAAATTTATTAGATGAAGATTGCTTAAATATCACGATTGTTTTAATCAGGGAAACAATTAACAATTTTGTTATTTTGTTTAAGTCATCTTCTGGTGATGAGATGAAGCCATCATTGAAGGATATTTATCATAAAAAACAAAGGGAAGGCAAGCAGCTGTCAGAATGGAATCTCATTTCTCCATCCCAGCCAACTCATCCACCAGAGGTAACATTTATTTGAACATGAGTGCCTCACGTTTGAACAGAAACATTTGGCATATTATGAGGTTTCAGATTGGTGGTCTGCTCTCATTTTTTATTCACAAACAAGGTTTCTACATCTTGAAACAAAGCTAAGATGTAGGCTGGGCAGATCTTCATGACCTTAGCTACTTGTATCAAACTCCATGATATCTGATTTTTCCTCTTCTTTCTTGAATCATCAAGGAAATAGTTCATGATTAAGAGTCAATCTTGTTAAGTTTCAGAACCAAAATGCCTTGAAATGATTTGGGACCTTTCTTCTAGTTACTGTCTCATGTTCTCTGCAATGTTGGGCAGATATCACTGTATAACATTCAATTTCAATTGGCTCGCAATCTAAAAGTTTTCTTCACTACTACAAATGCTAGAGATCGCTCTTTTAAAAAAAATTTGAAAATCAGGAACACAGATATCAGCCACCAGAAAAAAGTACCAGCTTACTAAACAGCTGCAAGTCCACTCAGTTCTACCTATGTTTATTGCTACCAAAAACAGTTGTAATACTCCCTTTGATAATTTCTGCAATAAATAGTATCTCCTTGTCATGAGTTTAATGCTTTTTCATTCATAAAATCCAGTCATAATTTATTAGTATTGTAATTATTTATTTTATAGGTCTTAACACTAGATCCAACACTGCACATGAAACCCGGTGAGCAAATTCCAGGACATTGTTTTGTCAGTACTCTCGATGAGAAGACTCCCTTTTCTCCAGACTCTATGGTGGATCCCACTTTTTCAAGTCATTCGGACACTGATTCATTTTCACATATAAGCAATATTACTTCATCTCAACTATGCGGTTCTCCAAAATATACTTCCAGTACTAAAGTTTTACATTTGGACCCCTGGGAAAATAATCCATTCCAAAATGAAAGCAAGGTTGGCTGTTCTTTTCCGATGGCACATGCTGATACTAGTAATGATCTGTTAATGAAAATTGAGGATGAAGAAAGTTTAACATTAACTCCATCTTCAATCATCCAGTCCCAGGTTCCATGTGCTGATAACAGTTCACCAGAATATAGTATTTCAGTGACATCCTTTGAAGATCCAATGATGTTGTCAAAGTAAGCATTTTTTTGCTTTTAGCTTATGTAAATAGTCCTCCCCCCAATTATACAAAAATCAGCAAAAATATAGGGAGAAGTTGGAGTAGCTCAAAAAAATGCCAATAGAATGTCTCTTAATGAAGTTTTTTAGGTAATATAGCTCTGTTCCAACACGTTATTAGATCATGCATCAATAAATGACCTCAAGAGGAGCTGTAGCTAGTCCTTTGTGAGAGAAGTCAATGTAGTAATAAATATGGCAGTGTTTTAATGTTAGGTTGCCAGTGGATGGTAGTGTGGACTAGAGTAAAATTTCCATTCAGTAATGTGGAAAAAACATAATATTTGCTCTTAATTTTAAAATCAGGATTAGGCAAAACTTGAGGAAAAAACATGCTCGACACATTGCTGATCTACGAGCTTATTATGACTCAGAAATCCAGAGCTTAAAACAGGAACTTGAAGCAAGCTATAAAACTGCTTCATCTGAAGAGCTGAAGAAAATCAATCAAAATCTTGTTGACAGGTAATATTTATTTTTGTGTGTGTGTGTGTAAAACAAAAATCTGTAGTTAAGTAAAACCTGCATGTAGCATGAATATAAAACGTATTGTTGGACAGTGAACCAGTTCTCTTTTTCCCTGGTTTACAATAGGGAGTTATTTCGAAGTAACTCTCCTTATTTCAAAATAACAAGTGTAACAGCCACATTACCAATCCCGTTCTTTCAATATAATGGGCTGGTTATTTTGAAATAATAACTTCTGCTTTCCATGAGGAAGAACGTGAGTGTGGAAGCTCAGCTGCTGCTATTTTGAAATAATTGGCCTCCAGAGGCCTCTCTCAATTGTCAGGTGTGGCCAGAGTGGCCAAAACTGCATCTTCACTGCTCTCCTTCTCCTGCGGAACTTAAAGCAGCAGGCTGAAGGAAAAGAGCTTGTAGCACATGTGTACCTTTCACAGTCCCACGCCATATAGCAACCATTCCAGGAACTATGTCAGACCCCAGCACTCTCTATGAGCCCACCTTGGCAGCCCTTGGCCAGGGACGAAAGAGGACACAAGCCTGGACCTGTGAGGAGATCCTGGACCTCATCTAAGTCTGGGGCAAGGATACCATCTTCTAGGATCTCTGCACCAGGAGGAGAAATGCCGACATCTTGGCCGGGCAACCAGTCATCTGGCTATAGAAGGAACACATGTGGACCCTCAGCCAGATCCACATGAAAATCAAGGAGCTTTGGTACAGCAAGGCCATGGAGCAGCGAGGATGCTCTGGGATGGCTCCTCACACCTGCAGCTATTACAAGCAACTCAATGCCATCCTATGAGAGGGGACTAGTCACCTTTCCCATCCCCCATTGTTTTCGAGTATGGCCAGGACATGCTGGTGTCAGCCTTCAGGAGGGAGGGATTGTGGAGGAGGAGGACCAGGCCAGTCAAGCTACCATGACTGCCATCCAGGAGCAACTCATCCTGGAACCAGTTCTCCCTTCCCAGGATGTCTCTTAGGCCTCAGATGATCCCAGCGAAGGTACTTCAGGTGAATTCTATAACTTTCCCTATACACATGAGGGCAGGTGGTGGGCTACCAGGGGCTACGTCTGGGTGGGCAGAAGATTTTAGTAAGTGGTCAAAGGCTGCACTTTTTTGTGGAGGAGGTGTGGGGTCAAGGTTGGGTACAGAAGGGTGCATGGGGTAAGGGACCGTGGTGCAGGAGATGGTGTGGGGTCTGAGAGGGTGTTTGGGTGGAGGAGGGGGTTGTGACCTGGGTCAGGATTGGAATGTAGGGTCAGGGAGGGAGTATGGGTGCAGGAGAGGATTCTGGCCTGGGAAAAGGGTTTTAGAGGGGATACAGGTCTGGGAGGGAGTTGTGACCTGGGGCAGGGGGATGCAGTGGGTTTGGATGGTGACCTTGGGGTGCCAGAGGCAGGCACTGGCTGGGAGGAGTTTACCTAGGTGTCTCCTGGCCAGCAGGCTGCAGTACCCCCGTGCCAGGCTGGGCTTCCTGTCTGCTGCAGCCCCAGCCCACTGGAAAATGCAGCCTCCTCCCTCCATATGGCTCTCAACTCAGCATGGGGGAAAAGACTTTTATTGCCCCGGTCACTCAGACCAATCTTTCAGCTCTGATTGGACGGCTGTTTCCAGCCAATAAGAGCTGAGGATTGGGTTGGGGATGGGGAGATTGCATGAAACCTCTCCTTCCCTGCACAGCAGAGAGACGCAGGGACTGGGTTTTAAACTGCAGCATCTATGAGCCTGAGGGTCCTGGGCGGAGGCAGTTCCATGAGTTGGATCCGGTGGTTTGGCAGGCCAGATCTGGCCCCCAAATCTGGGCCGTATTTTTGTCCAGGTCTGGTCTACGTGCTCCTCACTTGGCTTACTTGGCCTGCCAAACCACTGGAATGGAGCACCAGTCTAGAGCACTCAGATCCATGACGCTGTGATATAGGAGCCCCCTGGTCCTTCTCACAAGGTTCCTGGAGAGGCCTGTCTTACTCTGGCCTCCATGGCGGGACACCTTCCCATGACCAGCCACCACTAAAGAGGCTGGGGTCATGTAAACACCAAGGCAGCTGAGCCGCACCGTCTTCTCCTTCCCGCCTGCACCTTACCCAGGCCTTCTTGTTCCTAGGCCATGGGTATTGCGAGGCTCCCTTTGAATAGCCATGCCCCTGCAGGAAAGTGCCTGTTGTCTAGGCAATAGATGGGCTTGCTCAAAGCATGTCGCCATAATCTGAACTGAGACCTTTGGAGTCGGCACAGTGATTAGGGCTTGGCTTCATACACAGTGTCTCCTGAGATGACTGCCCTTATAGCTTTTCTTCACAGCTGTGAGCATGGCGTGTCCACCATCTCCCATACCATCTTCCTGACTCCGCGGGATCCACCAGAGGAAGCGAGCCTGGGAACACCTGATACAGGACCAGATGGCCTGCCTCCAGTCCCTCATCTGGGGGCTTGATGAAGAGTGCTGGGAGTGGGCTACTGACCAGGAGGAGCACTGGGCTGACAAGGAGCAGAGGAAGGCAGTCTGGGACCAGCTGATGCACCAGCACAGGGTCATATGCTCTTCCCTCTCCTCTGATTGAGCACATGGCTGTGTGCATGGACTGGGCTTCCAGCCACCTCCTTGTCCACCAACTCTTCGCCCCCATTCCGCCAACCTCGTCCCATCCCTCCTTGGTTTCCCTTCCTAGGCCCTCGAACATGTGGCAGTGGCACATCTCAGGCTGCCAAACCCTCCCTCGCTACCCAAGACAGGCACCAGTCCCAGCATCATCCCTGAGGCCCTTCTCTTCTGCTCTCCCCCTCTCCCATTCCAGGTTCTTTCCCTGGTCCCTTCCCTACTGTATGCCCCCTCCCCCTCAAATAAACAGAGTTGTTCTTTCAAAAAAAAAAACCTCTTCTTTATTTGCTCTGCAGGGAAGGTGAAAAGGGGAAAGGCACACAGAGAGAATGCAAGGGCCCCTTGTGAAGAGGCACAGGGGAGAGTCTCACAAGTGGCTTTGGCTGAAACTCACCCTGTAAGCCTCCTGGATAAGCACTGCCCCTTTATGTGCTCATTGAATGGCACTGGTATCCAGCTGCTCATTAGCCCTGGTCAACCATTTGGCCTTTCCCCCCCACAACCTGGCAGGAAAGTTTCCCCCTAGCTCTCACATAGGTTGTGGTGCACACAGTAGGCTGCTACCACATAGGGGATGTTGTACTTGCTGAGGTCTAGGTGAGTGAAGAGACTCCTGAACCTCCTCTTTAGTTGGTCAAAGGCACATTCCACAACTATGAAGTTCTCCTTGGTGGGGTCTGGGCTGTCCAAGTAGGCTTCCTCAGCCAGGGGAACAAGAGTAGGCTGTGTTGCCCAGGATGCAGATCAGCATGTCCATGTCACCAACCCTGATGGTGCAGTCTGGAAAAAAAATGATGGCGTGCATCTTCTGGAACAAGCAGAAGTTCTGGAAGATGCAGGCATCATGCGCCTTCCCCTTCCAGCCAAAGTAGCTGGCAGGAACCTGGGTTGCACTAGGACAGTACCTGTAAGAAATGTCAAGTCCCTTTCACCCCTGATCTCTGCCGACCTTGGCGATTTGGTTCTAACAAACACCCCAAAGACGGATTTATGGGCATTTTGTTAATGTCGCAATTAGGGATGTAATAATGTAGTCGATTAACTGCTGAGCAAAAGCTTGTAGGTTAATGCTAAAGACTACTCACATTTCCCTCCTCCTCCACCCCCGCCAGTAACATTTTTAGCAGGCTGTCCAGCTCAGTCCAGGCTCGCACCAGGTCCGGGACCTATCCCTGCTGCAGCTCTGCATTTAAAGTCTACTGCTGGCAGGGCAGGCAGCCTGGCTTAGTTTCAGTTCATGCCTGATGCAGGACAAAACACACTGTTGCGCTGCAATTTAAAATGCAGTTGGAGCCAGGGGGTCGGGCTGTCCAGCTCCTGCTGCTTTTTAAATTGCGGCGCTGCATCAGGATTTGGTCCCACACCCAGCGTGAGCTGGAACTGAGCTGAGCTGCCTATCGACTAATTTGAGTAGTCAATAAAAATTCTATTGACTACTCGATTAGTTAATTACCCACATTTTAAAATACTTAGCTTCTAGAGCATGGGTTCCCAAACTTGGGGATGTGCCCCCCTGGCAGGGCATGAAGAAATTCCAGAGGGGGCGCAAGGTGTCCCATTCCCCCCCCCACTGTCAATCCTTCCCCCTAAGTTTCTCTGCTATTTTTCAGCCCCGGTCAGTTCTTTTTTTTTTTTGCTCAACAAGTTTTGCTGCTATTGGGGGGAGGGGAGCGTGAGGGTTTCTCCAAAATCAGACAGGGGGCGTGATGCCCAAAAGTTTGTGAACCACTGGTCTAAAGTCTAGTTTCAGAACAGTTGGAAGCAGGCAAGTAATAAACAGGCTCTCCTGCCTCCCAGACAGCTGCCAGGAGTGCCGCAAGGAACATGCCAACTGAGGACTCCTAACTGGTCTCCTGCCACAGTATTCAGGGAATTGAGGGTCATTTGCAGCAGTAGGACCTGGGTGAAGAGCTGCTCCTTGTGCTGAAGCAGCATGTGGGCAGTTTGGATGAACTGCGCCATGAGGTGCAGCATGAGGCCCATGAGCCTGGCACTGCTTTGCAGCAGCTCTGGCTGCATGATGTCAGCACTGGCATCCGCAAGAGCCACCAGAGCACACAGCATGAGTTTGGTGTCCTGCAAGGAGGTAGGCAGTAGAAGTGGCAGGTGGGACATGCGAGAGAGGAGCCCCTGTAAGCATGTGTCTCAGCTAGCTTCAGCAAGCAGCCACAGGAAGTATTTGCCCTCCTGGTGCCCTCCCTAAGGCTTTAAATCCGATGCAGACTCCAATCAGTGTGGACACACTATTTCAAAATATTTCTGAGGTATTTTGATTTTATTTTGCGAGTTATTTTTTCAGTTTTACTTACTTTGAAATTATTTCATAGCATAGACATGTCCTTTGTGTCCCAAGTTGTAGCCTAATAAACTGAAATGATCAAAAGGTTTGTCCCAGATCTCTGGTCTGATGACATCCATGATCCTGCAACGCAGTTTTCCCACATGAGTACTCCAAACCCAAAGCACCCCCAGGTCCTTGATGATGCCAAACTATGGATGTCGCCGGACCAGAGAATCCCGGACCAGAAAGGTTTAACCTGAATTGCCCCTTTTGAATCTACAACATTCTTCATAAATGTTTCTCAGATGTTTCTGCCAACTAGTACTCTGTCTGATATTACAGTCAACTTTATATAAATGCTCTCTTCAGCATAATTTGAATATTTTTCACATTGAGTCAGATTGAGTTTCTATATATCAACATCACCAATCAAGACATGTACTGTAAATTGTTTAGTGTATTTTAACTGTTTTTATACCTTTCAAAAGTGATTGGAATAATGTATTAATGACAGGAACAAGTTTTTCTCTTCATCTTCCAGCATCAATGGGTTGCTTAGCACTCAGTTTGTTCATTCCTACAAATAACTTGTGTTCCAATTTCAGAGATAAGAGTGACTACAATGCATATCATAATATTCATTATATTATAGGGGAGGTCAATAGTGCTGCCTACTATTAATTTGCCTGACATGTCCCATTATAAGACTCTATTTTCAATTGGTTATAAAATTGCCAAACTTTAAGTGTTTGGACTTATATTTTACGTCTGGTGTCCGCCTAAGGCTAAATTGTTTTGAAAATTTCAGGCAAAACATCTGAAGAAGTGCCACAAAAGCTCATATCTACATTTTTCATTAGTCTCTAAGGTGCTGCAGGACCATTTATTGTTTGTTTTTTTAAGCAAAACAGTTCAGCCCTTTCCAGAATGAAGCTATGGACAAATATGTTGTTTTATCTATGTTTTTAAAAATCTGGCAACCTTTTCTATGAACAGTTCTACCCATCACTATGTTTTGGAGCAGGAGTGTGGCAGAAAAGTGGCTGTTTTCAGGATTGTTCTTTTTGCTGCCCCAGGGAAATTCTGCTCAAATTTGGCCAAGTTGAAAGCCTCTTTAAAAATGTAGTTTGCACATGATTGATAGAGACTTCCTCAATTTTATCAGGTAAAATCTCCAAAGGTTTTATGCTCAGTGCTCATATCTCTTGTGCTGACCTGACTGCTCATGAGCCATCTTTACAGAGTTATTGAGCATGCCCCAACCTTTAACTCACAACTCAAATGTATGACTGTACTGTGCTTGTACCATCCTGTCAGAGCTCCTACACATGATACATTGATCTTTACTGTTGTTATAATACAGTTTTGCATTATGATGACAACCATTTTATCCACAGGACAAACTATTTTATCCACAGGCTAAAATCCCATGAGAAAATTAATAAGTGTGTTGTCAGAGGGAGTATTGAATTGCATTTATTAGATAAGGTATAAAATATTTGAAGAGTTGCTTGTTAAGTCAGCATCATCCATCCTACTCAGAGTATGAGGCAAAATAGTATATGATTGTAATTAAAGACTGTACCAATGCATAGGCACAAGTAGAATTAATTAAGGTTGCATATACAACCTTAATTCTGGCATTTCCTAACTTTTGCATGCTTGATTTTGGAACTTCAATAATGTTCTTTTTAAATAGGGTTTGGCATTTTTGATTGAAATATATTATTGGAGTCCAACTGTTTAGAAGGTTTATCTTTGAATATCACTTACAGACAATAACTGCAGCCATATCCCATAATACTATGATTCTGTCAGATATAACAAGCAAAATATGGTTGAGGTGAATCTGCACTCTAACTCAGGAACACCTAACTACTGCAAGAGGTGGCATTTAAGATTCAGCAGTTGGCAGTATTCCCTCTGAGTCAGTGTGGAAACAATGACCCAGCATTGTATTAGGGACGAGTGACTTTTTGATGGTGCTTTATTTGTGTAATAATAAAACTAAGGTCATTTGTCATCATTAAAAAGTCTCTGCTCTTTTCATAAGAGAGAGGATGTCAGTTCTAGAAACCTGGCTAAATTGTAACTTGGTTAATTATTTTTTACCTATTCAAGTTCTCACGTAGTTTCAGTTGCAGGAGAGAGTTCTTTTGCTTCCTGCCATAATCTGTTTTATAGTGTTATAAAATGAGAACCGTATTTTCATTTTTAGAGATGGTTGCTCTCCAGGGTAAATGAAATAATTCCTGTATCTATTTTGCATACTGTATCCGTTTTTATAGGGCTTTGAAGTGTCTTTGGATAAAAGGTGTACACATATATAAAATTATTATGTTAATTTAGAAGGGAAAAGGTTTTATTTTATACATTCTTTGTTAAATTAAAAAAAATTTATGCCTCTAGGTGTGGCCAGTTAGATGCTGCTCTCAATGAAGCTAATACTCGCATGAGAACCCTTGAAAATAAGAACAATAAGCTAGAAATGCAAGTTGTAAGTATATATTGTGGGTAACAGATTACAGTTGTTTAAGTGAGAAGGTAAAAGTGAACAACAGTTAACTGTTCATCTAATTTATATTTTTATGTTGGTCTATCCTGATCATTACGTATTGTGAACATCCAGATCATATTTGCATAGATAATAAGTTCTTTACCTTGAGAACCTCTTGATCTACAAAATCCCCATTTTTTAGTTTCATTCCACTCTAACCAGTGCCCTTTCCCATGCAAAAATATTATAGCATCATGTGAGTTCTCTTTGCCATTTTATTCCCACACACCCTTCCCAGTGCTTTATGAGCAAACTGCGCATCTACAGATGTGATTTTCTTACTCTTGTTAACTTTTCTGTTCAGGGTTTGATGAGAACCATGACAGTTGTACACCCTATTCCCCCATCTTCCTTCAGCAAGAACTAAAGTTCGCCAATAGAATATTAAAGATGTGTTTCTGATATCTCTCTCAAAAAAGGGGGTTGGGAGGAGGGAAAAAGGCTAACTTTCTTTTCTTATTTCACACATGGATGATAAGGCACATTACATGTGCAGTGAGGCAAAAAGAACTAGCCCTTTACCTATATTTATCCTCAGGGCTCGCCAAGCGGCGGCGAGCCCCGCTCGCTAGTCGCGCAGTTCTGCGCTCTGTGCATGCTCTTCCGGGTTGTAATCTACTCGACACAGGCGAGTAGATTACATTATTTGTCGAGCCCTGTTTATCCTACTTTAGGTTGTTTATTAGGTGATGAGCTTTCGTGGGCCACACCCACAAAAACTCATCACCTAATAAATCATCTTGTTAGTCTTCAAAGTGCTGCATAGTCCTGTTTTTTGTTTCGGGAAGACCAGACTAACATGGCTACATCTCTATTACTATTCTACTTTAGATTGTAAAACCCCAGCTGGGTCAAAATATATGAATCCTCCTTTTATGACTCAGCTTTCCTGGGTATGCCTAAGCCAGTTTTTTCATGGCTATACAGCAACAATGGGCAACCTTGGCTAGTGAATGGGTTGCTTGAGTGGCCCTTACTCATCTCAATGCTGCAAGACGGTTTCTCAGGATAGGGTAATCTTGCTAACTGCACATTCAGACCTCAAATTTGTGAGGTGGACCAATTGAACTGTAACAGCTCTTTGATTGGATGCAGAGGGAGTGCGTGGTTCTTGCTGTAAATGTGTGCAGTCAGCATGTACCTCACTTCATGTGCCTTTGCTTTACCTGGAAGTCACGTTAGTAATACTGGTATTAAAAAAACAATGTGGATGGAAACCAGTGGACTCTGGTAATCCTGTGCTTAGGCAATGGAAAACAAAATGTCTTGCGGGTCACACATAGAACCCTGATGGGCCATATATGGCCCTTGAGCCGCAGGTTGCCCACTGCTCTTCAGCAAATTGCTATCCAGAAAACTTGCTAATGAACAGGAAATGTTTATATATGATAGAACTTCGGTGCCTTGTCTTGAATCTTAGTTTTAGTGCATTGCATTAAAGAATGTAGCTTAAACTTTTTTTCAGTCTCTGGGCATTTCAAAAAATTTACTTCTGCTTTCTATCCGTGTAAGATTTAAGATAGACAAAATCTGTTATGTACCTGTTTTTAATGAACCATGTTTTTGTTTTTTAGACAGATTGGAGAGAACGCTTCTATGCAGTTAGTAATACTTCCAAAGTTTTGCAAGAGCGTATTGAAGAAATGCGCACAAGTCATAAAGAGAAGGATAACACAATCAGCCGTCTAAAATCTAGGCTTAAGGATCTAGAAGAAGCATTTGAAAAGGCTTACAAGTTGTCAGATAATAAAGATGCTAGGTTAAAGGAAGAAAATAAAATGTTTCAAGACGTAAGTGAGAAAATAAGTAATAATGGTTTACAACTGTACAGTGCGCCTTGAACTGTAAAAGTCTTAGATGTTTTTGGAATAGCCATCAAAATTTACTGCAGCAAAATCTGTCTAACATGACCAGCCAATGGACAAGGAAAATTCAGTCATCTGGAAGTGATAGTTGAATAAATGTTGAACAAGATTATCTTAGAAATACAGGTTGGACCTCCCTGGTCTGGAACCCCTGAGACCTGACTGGTCCTGAATGTTGGAATTTGTTGATCAGGAGAGGTCTCCTGCCACTAGTTTCTCAGGATATTGCCCCTCCCTCTGGCTGGCTCTGCTTCAGCCCCACTGCCACTTGGCTCCACCCCTGCTGCTACCGGGCTTGGGCTCAGCAAACTGTCATATGGGGCTCTCCAGTGACAGAGCTCTCCAGCTGCTGTGGCTTTGCTTCTGCCCCACCTAGCCCAGGATTCTTGACAGGGCTCCATGGCTGCCCTGCTTCTGTTCTGCCTGTGGGTTCCAGGGGACTCTGGATGCCGTGCTGCTCCTGCATTCTGCCAGGGTTTCCCAAGGATGGGGCTCCTCAGCTGCTGGTGGCCTCGCTGCTGCCATATCCTGCTAGGACTGCCCTGGAATGGGGCTCCCCAGCTTCCCTGCTTCTCCCATGCCAGAATAGGGCTCCACAGAGATGGAGTTTGCCAGTCCCACTGCTGTTCTACCCAGAGCTCACAGGTGATAAGGCTCTGCGGCTGCCTTGCTGCTGCCGCACCAAGACAGGACTCTGCACGAATGGGACTTTTTGGTCTTGCTGCTGCCCTGCCTGGGCCAGGGTTCTCCAGGGATATGGCTCACCCATCTAATGGTGAGGCTCCCCTCCACTGAACTTGTTGACTGGCTCGCATTCTTGGGTGCCAGGGCTCTCTGGTCCAGCAATATCTGTGATCCTTCCAGACCACGAATGTTGCCAGACCAGAGTCCCAGATTTAAGAGGTTCAACCTGTAGTTGTTTGAGATCAAATTGTTTATTCAAATTGGTCATTAGTGCAGATTTTATTGTATTTTGTTATAATTGTACATACTAAAACAAAAGAATATATATAGTATAGCTCATCTTTTATTTTTATTACTTTTTAAACTATTAGATCATTTTACTGACATTATAGAGAAATGAAGTATTATTTATACCCTTTAAGTCCAGATGGCTAGGTGTTGTTTTGCAACAGCAGGGAGACAGATCTTTAAAGACTCTGCCTACTCAGTTTCTTTTCTGTCTCCAGCAGTCAAATAGCAGTGCTAGTTTAGCTTACCATCTGCGTGTCTGGTAAAGTAACATTTTCTGAACTAATTTTAGAATAGTTCATTGATTTTATTTTTTTTTAATTCACTGGGATTGGGCTGAAGTTCTTCATTGTAACTCTTTGTGGTTTGTTCTGATTTTCTGTTTTATTGCATATCAAACTTTTGGCTTTTCATTATTGCTTTATATTAAAGTTAATCTGTCTTTAGAGAATGATAATAGCAGTGAAAAACTATTGGGAACTTTAGCACCTTTTTTAGGATGGGATTCTCAGAAGTGTTCTGTATTGGTCAAAATCTTTCCTTTTAAAGTCAATGGGAAATTTGACCATTGAGTTCACTGGGAGCAGAGCAGAGTTAGAATTGAGCACCTTTGAAAATCTCATCTTTGGTGGGGAAGTTATTTTGTTTCCTTTTATCTCTTCAGCAGTGCCTGCATCTTACATTAACAAGAAAGATTACTTTCTTGACATGTCATTTATAGGAAGCTTTTTATATCTTTTGTATGCTTTAATAACATTTATTTAAGAAAAATCTAATGACCTGCAAACAGGGTAATGTTGTATACCTGAGGAAATTCTGAGCTAAAAATTAAAAATTCTGCACATTATTATTAGTCAAAATAACACTACATAATAACTACAGTTTCAGTTATTTTGGATATTTATTTCAAACTACCTGTTAGCAATGATAACAATTCAGATATATAGAAAATCTCCTCCCAGGAATAGAGTTAAAGAATCCCTTACAACAATTGAGTTCTTGTTTCTCTGCCCCCTTCCCTTACAGCCCAGCTGCAGAGTGTCATCCAACCCAGATACCCGCACTCCTTCTCCCCCTGAACCCAGGGATCCAGAGAGAGGAAGAGCCTTATGCTCATTCCCCTGATTATATGGAGTTTTCTGCATGCCACTTCTATCCTTCAGGATATACTGAGAACTACAGCTGCCAGGAACCCATCTCCTCCTCCTGCCCCCTTGTATTTTTGGAGCTGGTCTTTACTGAGTGCAGAGGCTCCTAGTGGTGGCCAGCAACTCTGAATCCCATTTCTGTGGAGGGGGAAAAAAGAAATTCTGCACACACAGAATTAACTTCTATGCACATTCTGCAATACTCAGTGGCACAGAATTCCTCCAGGAGTAAATGCTAAAGCACACAAGGATTAATACACAAATCAACAAATTGTTAACATTATTCATGCAAGCAAAAGGGACTGCCAGTATTTTAGGAATAAAACCTATTAGCAAAAATCTAACTTTCTGGACTTACCCAGTTTGTGTATTCTTATATATACCCTGAATATTTAAAAATATGCCTGCCATTGGGAATAGAAAGAAAAAAAGTGGATTTAAAACCAAAACAGCAGTGAGCAATAAAAAGGGCTAACTCTTGAATAGAGACAATTCTATTGATCAATAAACCTGAATTTGTTAAGAACAACTCCCAAAAAATTATTTCTTCATATTATTCAATAATACCCTTCTACGGTGAAAGACCACTTTCAAACCCTTTCTTAAAGACTCACCAAAGCAGTGCATCTAAGGGCTTAAATATGTCTTAAATAATGTAGATGTTCTTGAAAGTGTCCTGCTCAGTGGCAACTTTTTATTCGTAGTCTGCTATGAATGTAGACCAAACAGCGAGCCAAGGAGAGAAATGTAACTCTCCTAAGTCACAATTCCCTCCTGTATCTGCATCCTACATTTACAATTAGAAATACATAGTCTAGCCTTAGCCTCGTGTAAGGAAGCAAATATGCTACATTTTTATGAGTTTAGTTTTCCATGATATTTTAATTTTAATACTTGCAGTTTTTTTTCTTTTAGCTTCTTGGAGAATACGAATCCCTTGGAAAAGAACATGAAAGAGTAAAGGTAAGTATTAGTGAATTTTATTTCAAAGTTATTGAAATTTTTACGTGTGACAATATTGGACTCATCAGCTATCCATTGATAAGTGAGAGGATAATATTTGAATCAAGAGAACCGAAGGAGGGGAAAAGTTTTGAACAGCCAGTGTTAGGCCCAAATGTATCATGATGGCACAGAAATACATATTAATTAAATATTTAAGTATTTATTTAAAAAGGATTTTAATGAATGGGTTCATACTATGTTTTCAGTGTCATACAAGGAGGAAGAACATAGAGTTTACAGTGTATCAGATGAAAAAGGAAATATTTTTGCTTATATGATATTCTAATCCTAGACAACAAGGGTATTGCAAAGTCAAATTGAAATCTAAGCATTTAGCTCCCTTTCAAATAAAAAGGTGACATACATTATAATTTTTCAATATAGATGAAATAATGTATTTTTTCCTGTAGGCCATGTACACACTAGGAAATTATTATTAAATTACTAAATTTGACTTATGAATTCCCAATTTAACAAATTCGAAATGGCATGTTCTCATTATGGGGAAGCATTGAAATTAGTCTGAGGCAGGCTCCATTAATGTGGACACACTACCTCAGACTCAGAGCCCCACGAAACACCTTTGGGAGCTGTGGGAGGCCTCCCAGAGGCCAATTAGCGACACTGGAGCATCTAACTAATGTTATTTCAAAATTACAAGTTTGGAATTAGCATTATTCCTGATGAAAAGCAGGATTACAGAATTCGAATTCCGTGGCCGGGTATTATGAAATAACAGGCTTTGTAGTGTGGATGCACGACTTATTAATTGGAATTTGGGGTGGGGAGATGTTTATTTCGGACTGCGGTCCTAGTGTAGACTAGGGCATAAAGGGTCTGTACTATTCACTTTTTCCTTTTGTGTATTTTATAGGATACATTGAATGCAACTGAAAATAAATTGCTTGATGCAAACACCCAGATTTCTGATTTGAAAAGGTAAAATGTGAAAGCATTTTAGTACTATCTTAATAATGTGAATCTAGGTTATAATGCATTAAACATTTACTACTTGATAATAAAATGTACTGCTGATCTTTGTTCTCTGTTAGATCTGTTCGCTGTTTGTAAAAATTAATGAAGCACCTTTCTACAGATATTGAATTATTTTACATTACATTGCACAGAGTATAAGAGCCTTAATTTACAAAATTTTATAAACATTTTTCCTCATCAGAACCTCCTCCCAATCTGGAATGAATGGGCTCATCTCCATTCCGTTGTCATTCAGTTCAGTCAACCCATTGGTCAAGCTTTCCATGCTACAGTTTTTTCCTCAAAAGCCTTTGTCTTCTGCTTGTCTTTGTTCTGGTTTTCAAGAATGTGGATGCTGACAGTAATTTGTTTAATCTAGGCATGAATAAAGGTCAGGAAGGTATTCCATGTATAGATCAGAAGAAATACCTCCTATGTCTGTCCCTCCTGCTGTCTGAACCTCTCTCCTGGCTGATAGAACTGCAGTCCATTGAATTTGCACTTTCTGGATAGGCAGGAAACATGACCATCAAGAGAGAAATGTTAGGGCCAAAGTCCAGCCAGTATTGTTCATGGCTACAGACTGCTGAAAGTTTTCATCGCAGATTGCTCACTTGTTCCCTTGCAAGCCTGTTAAACAGAGAATTCAGGGATGCCCACGGGGGCATGGGAAAAGGGGTTTTAATCTGGGAAAGCTCTGATATGGCTCTCACAGGATCTCTTTGAGCTGATTTTTTTTTTTTTTTTTGGAAGATTTCTCTCTATGTTTCTCTTGTATGGGTAGATGCTGTCATTCATTCTTTCCCTCCCATGTTCACCTGAACATTTCAAGTCAGAAAGATCAGGAGAGATGGGGAAATTACAATTTTTCATGTACATTTTGTTTGTTTTTCACAACTCTTAGGATGGTTACCAGTTTCATCTCCCAATCAATTCTAGATTTCATTTCTGCTAAGCCATTAACTTTACATTGGATTGTCTGAAGCCAGTCTAGCCAAAGAGAGAGAATTTATGACAATTTAAAATGTTGTCATAGCCCTTTTATAAATTTGTATAAATCACAGGTTTTTAGGAAGTCAAAATTCTTCTTTATTTTTTTGTGGGTCATAAAAAAAGTGGGGAAAAAGGAGGAGGAGAAAGTCTCCTGCTTGGTCTTTGAATTCATTCCTCAATTAAGAACATTTTCATTAAGCATTTGAGAGTTTTAAGATGAGAAAATGTGTAGAGACATCCCAAGCTGGCATGGTATCCACCTGTTTAAAATAAATTTACTGGTCATTTACTTGACATCTATCTACAATATTTTTTAGGTATTGTTGTGAAGATTGTGGTGCCTTTGCTCTCTTTGTATGCTGTGTTTTGAGAACAGGAGTCAGGGTCAGTTCAGTCTAGCGTTCCTTTTGCATTGTCTATTTCTCTCATCTGGTTCTAAGAACTGCTGGGACATAGATTACTCCAGATTGGGGCATCCTTAATAGGAAAGTAGATTTTGTTTTCCTGTCTGAAAGTTATACTTCTATTATGGGATCCAAGTGAAATTTTTCAGTGATACATAAAGTGGATCAGTACCACCTCGTTACAGCTTAAGAAACCCTTGTCTTTGCCTCCTACTCTCTAGGAAAGCTTCCCCAGCTATTGGCTGTTGGCTCTGTACTAGGGATGTTAAAGACTAGTTGACTAGTAGTCGACTATATGATAAGCAAATGCTTATTGGATAGACAATTGACTAGTCATTACCCTTCGCCCCCTTGCTGCCTCTATTAGATAGTCAGCAAAGCGGGACGGGGGAAGAAGGGGTATTCAAGGAGGCAGCGCCGTACAGTTGAGCTGGGGATCAGCTGTGTGGCACTGCCCCTTTGAAACGTGAAATTGGCATTCAAAGGGGCAGCTCTGTGGAGCCTAAGGTCAGCTGGGGACCTGGGCTCTGTGCGGTGTTTCAGTGGAACCTTAGATCAGCTGGGGCGTCCCCAGTTGACCCCAAGTTCTGGGAAAATGCGGCACGGAACCCAAGGTCAGCTGGGAAGTCCCCATCTGACTCCAGGCTCCTCGGTGCTGCTCCTTTGAAACAAAATTTAACATCCTTACTTCCTCAGTACTCTACAAGCTCACACACCCCACTTAGATACACTTGAGTGTCTCATCTTTTATCAGTTGGACACCTGTAAACTACACCAATCCACTGCCTCTGTGGAAGCGGTACACCTCATTTCATGATTCTCCCATGTCACTTCAGATACATAGTTTTGAAAGCTCATATTCTGCATTTTATGTCTCTCTTAATTCCTTTACATCTCATAATCATGATGTTCATCATGACATCATGCTAATTCTTAGTTTTAAACAGAGATCACTTACAGCCTCTTTGGTGAAATATTGAGAAATGGTTGGACACAGAGGCAGTATACCTGTCTGGGAATGCCTGGGCATATCTGTATCACAGTCCACCAATCTAGAATCCCGTAAGGTTGGGAGTTTTTCACTTTAACTCTGAATGCAGGCCTAACAGAATTTTTCTTAAGGTTTGGTTAATTGAAGGTATGGGCTACTGTGGGGGAGAGGGGGGAAGGAGAGAGATATGATATGAAAAGTCTATGAAAAGTCTAAGGAGTAGATAGGGCAAATTATCTGAATGACATGTAAAACGAGGAGCAACCCATTAAATCCAGAACAGAGAAGTCCTTTACAGAAAACCACCTTTCTGAGATGGAGAAAGGGTTTGTTTATTTTTTCTTTAGGGTGGAGCTAATGTAAAAAAATAGATTTCATTCAGATAGAACCCATGTAATATTATTGGTATTTTAAATGGTTTTACACTTGGTTGGAATTATTCCACAGTAATGTTTTTTTTTCTTGTCCTCCATTCATGTTGTTTAATCTTTGAATTGACAGAGCTTGGGATCATGTATAGTGAAGAATTTTTATATACTGTTTATGCTACTTCTACCTAAGTTCCACCAAGGATATATATTAAAAATCCTTATATTTTAATGCTATTTAAAATCTAATAACATTATCTTAAACTTCTTTTAAATCTCTTGGTACTATGTCTTCATTACTTCTACATTAGAACAATTTCAAAACTTGAAGCTCAGATCAAGCAGGTAGAACATGAAAATATGTTGAAACTCCGCCATATTACTGAAAGTCATTCAAAAACAAGTCATGCCAAGTAAGTGAATATTTTATCACGTGAAAAAATGGGTGATGTGTTTTATTAAGCAGTTTGCCTGTTTTGGCAAAAACGGATTATTTAATGTTGGACAGTAGCAATTGGAAGACACAATATGTAATCCACCATATTATACACTGGAAAATGATTAAAAGATAAAATAATATGGGCATCCAGTTTTGCAAGCTTTACCTGTACAATCCTTACTCTTATAAGTGATTTCAGTTACTTGACTGATATTACTTAGTACTTGGGGATTATCCTTGTGAGTAAAGGTAAACAGTAGAAAGTATAAGATCTGAACCTGCAATTGAACTATACAGGCTCAGTGTTATTGTACCTTTAGTACTTTGAATCAAAAGAGTAGATGTGAATTTTTAAAAATTTTTAAATAAAATGTTACAAGTGTAATTTAGATTTATGTGAAAACTAGAGGGCAAACTTTTCTAGAAGAGGGGCAAAACTGGGATGGGCATGCTTTGCTCCTTTGATATATAAAGAGAGCCTGAAAAGTTTTACCATAATCAAAATTCCTTTTAAATTATAGAAATATTAGATCATTGCTTACTGTTTTGTTTCAATGTACAGTAAACTTCTGATAATCTGGCACCTTTAGGACCCAGGGGGTGCCAGATTATCAGCTATGCTGGAGTACCAGAAGGGGGGCTATGAGGGGACTGGGGTGGGGGTTGGCAGGGAACTGCGCAGCATGGGAGAGGGCGGCGCTGCGGGACCAACCGGCAGCACCCCAGCTGCTCTGCCCCAGGGTCCACAACAAAAGCCTGGTCTCTGAAACTGACCAGCAGTGGACTTGGGGAAGCTGGGGGCAGAGCAGCTCCAGAGCACTTCCATGTTCCAGTTGGTGCTGGACTATCAGGAGTGCTGGACCACTGGATGCCTGACAATTGGAGTTTTACTATAATACTTTTAATTAGTGCTGTGGTGTGCATTGCCTGTTTATCTAATGCATACATTTTGGGAGTATCCATTGTTATGTACATTCTGATATAGAAGTACTTTAGAGAGCCAATGTGATCTATAATAGCAGTATTTTCTTGAATCTCAATTTTTTTCTTATGGAGCTTAAGAAATTTACCTGTTAGCAACTCAGAGGGACAATTTCTATTGAGGACTTGTTGAATAGATATAAAAATGGGATTTTTCCAAAATGGAAAAAAT